TTTGATCTTGTTGCCTCAAGTTGAGCAGTGGTCAACTTGAGGCCACAAAGATCAAACCAACCAAAAAGTTGCATGCAATAATGTTGCCTAGTGTATGATAGCCTTTAAGGACAACATCAGGTCAACACTATCAGTCCTTAAACACATGTACAATGTAGGTTAGTACCATACCAATAATTATTGGAGCATTACAAAATGTCAAGGTGTCCTTTTATCATGAAGATTACATTATATAACTAGAACTACATGTACTAAAATTTTGCAAGGCAGGCTTGCAAAACTTTGCAAGTTTGTCACTAAAATTTATAAACTCACTTGACAAAGATGATAATTTCTTCTTTAGTCTCAAACTGGACTCTATCACGTCTTCATCCACCACTACAGGGTGATCTCCAGTGGGCGTGTCAACGGGCGGGGTCTCAGAACGGTATGGTGACAGCAATGAAGGGCTACATGTAGGTTCTCTCTGAGAGAAATGAAACTCGGGCTCACGCGACTGAGAGAGGGAGGAGAGGGGCGGAGGAGAGAGAGGAGTGGCTTTGATTGTCTTTGATTCGATGATTTCTGATAAAAGTGTTCTGTGTCTTTCTTCAGCAGGATGGACAAGATTACAGGAGCGATCTAAGGAGGGAGAGAGAGAGGGAGAGGGAGAGAGAGGGGGAGGGAAAGGGAGAGAGAGAGAGGGGGAAGGGAAAGGGAGAGAGAGAGAGAGAGAGAGAGGGGGGTAGGGGAGAGAGAGAGAAAGAGAGAGGGAGGGAGGGGGGAGGAAGGAAGGGGAGAAAGAATGAAGGAAAAAGGTGAGAGGTCTAACCAGGTGAAGGTGGTGGTGAAAGATGATCAGTAATTGAGTGGCTCTCTCTTCTTATCCTCTCCTCATCCCACAAAGACAGTAACCCTGGAAACCCACCGCTTTCTAAATAAAAATTAACATAATATTTTTAACATTTAAATTATTTTAATTAATTTATTATCTCACTTTGTTTCAGTTCTTCCCTATTCAATATGTCTGTCACTACAACATCTCCTTCCAACTTACATGCACTCACTTTTGACTCGTACAGCAACATGTCACTGGTTAATTAACCATTATTAATAACTAACACTAATAACCCCACAAATCAAACCTGGCTAATTTTTCCAGCTGCCAAACTCGTTTACTTGGAGATATCAACTGGTTAGAACCAGAGAATGAAACAGGAGAAGGACTGCCTATAAAAAAAAGAAATATATTAGTTTATAAACAGAATGATAAGAATGGCAGTTTTATTATTAACTTATCACTTCATTGTTCTCCTCTTCCTCTCCATCTCCTCCCACCCTGAACATCACTTTACTGGAGTGAAGATAGTTCATGCCATAAAGATTATGATCAATCATAAACTATCAACAAAAAACAGCAACTAGTCAAAACTTAAAACTATAATGTCCACGTACATGTACATGTATAGTACATTCTCAAATAGTAACTCAGGCTTCTGCTTCCTATCTTTAATTTATACAGGCTCATATATTGGAACTGGCTTTTATTTAAGAGTGTTTTTTATTTGAGGATAAATTATGGTATACCATAAACTATCAACAAAAAACAGTAGATGGTCAAAACTTAAAACTATAATGTACATGTACATGTACAGAAACTCAGGCTTCTGCTTTCTATCTTTTAATTATACAAACTCATATATTGGAGTAGGCTTTTATTTGAGAATAAATTATGGTATACCTCCCTCTCTAATTCACTTACTTGTAGTATGAATGGTATGTGTGACTCATGAGGCTGCAGTGGTATTCTCATTATAGCACCCACTATTAGCAGATCAGCCAACCTACAGTACATGTATATACATGTAAATACATGTACATATAAATCTATTTTGTAAAAGCTTAGTACATGTAGTAAAATGCATACAATGAATGTAATAATAAAAATGATAATAAATAATAATAATAATCAGCCAGTCTATATAAGTACAAAAACAATCTACCAATTAACACACTTCCTGATAAATATAATTACATGTCTCAGGTGGTGCCTTATTTAATTACTACACTCCAGGAGGTGCTTGTTTAAAGAGCTAGGTGCATAGAAAAGTATGCAATACACCTGTAAACAATGGGACCTTCTAATTACAATATTGCACCTCTCAAAAATAATTATCTTGACCAGGAGGTGCACTTAATAGAAAGTTTATTATTGTGAAGCCAAGTAGAGGTGCAATATTTAGGAGGGTCTGCTAATTGGGGCAGTACAGCAGTAGGGAGGGTATTTTACAGAATACTGTAGGTAATGAAATACTAGTAATAGCACAAAGAGTCACAAATATTAATGCATACATATACTGTTAATGCATTTATTTATTTATTTTTTAATATTCATGTCTCTCTTTTTTCCATCTCTCTCTCCTCTTACCTCTTAATGTGTCTTGGGTTATAGAGATATATCTTCAAGTAGACACACTCTGATGCATGATAGCCATAAAAGGGCCTAAAAGTAGAAAAAGTTATGTACATGTACATATACAGTACACATGTGTGTGGTAATAATTCAAGATTTAGTGCTTAGAATTGATGCTTTATACATAGTATAAAATATAATAAAATGAGATATCTCTTTTAGCCATTTTTGATAAAATACCCTGTACTATAAATCTACATGGTCTTTGCTTTGGAGAGATTTTTGAGCAACTTCATAAATTCGTAAAAAATCAAACTTTGATCAAAATTAGCTCATACTTCATAAGATGTATATGCATCAGAAAAAAATTATAAAAATTGCAAAAACACTCTACAAATAGATTTGTATGTATACTATGCTCTTAGGCAAAGGATTGATTTGTATTTTGTTTATAATTTTAAAAATTAAACACTTACTTTCCTCTGACTACTGATATCTTAAAAACGTGAGACTCTTTCTTTGAAGCTGCTCCCAGTGACACCTGCAGGGCATGATTAATACTCTCTGCAAATAACTTTAGATATCTAAAAAAAAATTAAAAATTAAATTAAAATTAAATTAAAATTCAATGCAAAAATTAAAAATTTAATTAAAAATTATTTTAATTATAATTTCAGCCCTCCTATATTACCTTTCTGATGGTTTTTCCTCTAGTGACGGAACAAAGAGGTAAGGGAAGGCTCCATGGACGTGTAGGCAAGTCTTCTGACCGGCAGGAGTGGATCCAAAAACTCGCACCACAGGAACACTTTTAATTGGCTCTCCCGAAAAATCAGAGTAACAGACATCAAGACCAGATAATGGAGCCCCCTGATAGCTGTCTATGTCCACAATACGGATACTAAAGGCTGCCTCCAGCGAGGACGAAGGAGAAGGAGAGCTAAAAGTGTCCACATTGCAAACATTATTTTTCGCCATTTAAATGGGTGTGGTCTTAATAAATTTGTCATGTGGCGTCACAAAATTAAAAATTTTTTATTTGGATAAAAAATAATTTCGAGGTACCACCATTCTAATTTCTAAATGGCAAAGCAGAGAGAAGTATGCAAGTTCTATCTTCAGGACAGATGCCATTATGGGGCCAATTGCCGGTTCCTCCATCCACCAAAGAATCAGCAACAATTTGGTACAAAATTAAATAATTATATATATATTAAAATTCAATTTTAAATATTGCATGATAGATATATAATGTTTTAATTTTATACATACCAGGCTATGGGCACTCATCAAATACTGGTAGATTCGATAATGGAAGAAACTGGGGAGATAGACCGGTAATATTTATTTAAAAAGTAGCGTAATTAATAACGTGTTCATCATTAGGTAGGAAGAGGAGGTAACCCTTACGCCCACGTCCAGCAACAAAATTATAGAGGGAGAGGAGGAGGTGGTGGGTGGGGCCAAAGAGGAGGAGGTGGTGGGTGGAGTCAAAGAGGAGATGGGTGGAGCCAACGCAGTGAAAACTGGTCGGGCGGCAATAACTGGAGAGGAGGAGGAGGAGGAGGGAATTGGCACAATCATGAGAATTGGAGAGGAAGAGGAAGAGGGAACTGGTCAGGGACAAGTCATAGAGGAGGTTCGGGAGCAAATTGGTTTAGTAATAATGAAGGGAGAGGAGGAGGAGGAGGAGGAGGAGGGGGGAACTGGTCAAACCCTAGGACTGGAGGGAATTTGAAGAGTACTAGCTGGTTTGATGGTCCTAGTACGAGACATGAAAGACGAGTGAGCTGGGAGGATGAGGTTAATAATATGGTGATAGAAGTAACCAGCACAGAACCAACATCAGCTAATCAAATAGTGTAGGTACATGTGGATTTGATTTAACTATGTACATTCTCTTGATCTCCCTCTCCCTCTCTCTCTCTCCCTCTCCCTCCCTCCCTCTTTCTCCCTCTCTCTCTCTCCCTCCACCCTCTCTCTCTTTCCCACACAGTGCTGCTATTAAAGAGGATCTGTCTAATTGGGAGAAAGGGTCAATGTGGCCTCTTTCTTGTTATTCTCCTGCTCCTTCAGGAGTGTGTCCTAATCTTACTAACATGGAGGATCACTCAATGGAAGAGATTAGGTATCTGGCTTATGAAGCACAGGCTAATGGGACTTTACAGCAATATGTGAGGAGAGAGAGGGGGAGAGAGAGAGGGGGGGAGAGAGAGAGGGGGAGAGAGAGAGGGAGAGGGGGAGTGATGTGTCTAAGTAAAGCTCCATTATTGTCTGTTTAGATAGATAATGTAAGAAAAGAGTATGAAAAACAGCAAAGGTTATTCCAGCAGTACCAATCAACCACAACTGATGAAATAATCCATTTTGTAAGTGAATAAAATTAACAATGAAATAGAAAGAAATACATATGTGACTCACACCACAATTATGCTCACACACACACACTCACTCACAAGTTAATCTATTGGCTGTCAGAAGGTGGTAAATTTTACTTAATTGACACATTATTGGTTGCACCTAAAGCTACCAACACCTTCCTTTCCTGTCCTCCTCCTCTCTCTCTCTCCCTCCCACTCTCTCTCTCTCCCTCCCTCCCTCTCCTCTCTCCCTCTCTCTCTCCCTCCCTCCTTCTCTCCTTCTCCCCCCTCTCTCTCTCAAGGTCACAGGATCAAGGCCATATACGACCCCAGCTAGTGTAAGAACTGGTTCTCATTCTTCGTTAGTTGGGGCTGGTACCAATGGTCTAGTAACTCCTGTCAAAGACCTCTTTGGCGTAAAAGAAACAAAACAAAACTCCACTCATTCATCAGGTGACGATAATGGATATGATTTTATCATCCAGTCATTATAATGTATCCGCACAAAGTTTAAATATTTCATGGATTGTTGGCTCGCATTGCGGACATCGTAATAATAGTACACAAGTGTATCCTGCAAGTTTAACATAATTGTGACATCATGTTAATTTGTTCTTATTGCATCATGTGACACATTCTTTGTTTGTATAGATTCGACTACAACGCAGCAGATTAGTGATACAGATTTAAAAGCATTTCAAGCCGACAGATTTGTGGGTGGAGCCATTCCAGAAACCCCACCTCCAACCAATCTCTGTTAATTATTAACACCATTATTATTATATAATTATTGTTGTAATTTAAAATAATATTAGTTGTACACACAAGGATAATGAGAGGGAATCAAGAATAAGAGAGAGAGAGAGGGGAAGAGATAAATAATAATAAATTATAATAAATAATTGTACCGATAATTAATAGTGATGGAGGTTATTTTAATAATAGAAGAGTAATATTTAGGAGATAGACAGATAAGATTAAACATGTGGAGGATAGAACAGTCAAGTTCAATAAATAAGGATAACGTTCGTTAATAATAAGACCATTAACTCTTAACCTCATTTATATACTCTTGCAGTTGATGACAATCAGTGTCAGTGTCTCACTTATTTTAATGCATTAAACTGTAATAGCCAACCACCTCATCATGGAGTTGCTATGATTTCAGGAGAAGGACTGTCTCTATTGCCAATGTAAGCCATTCGTACGTTGTGCGACTGAGGAGAAACGCTTTTAAGTCTTGGTCCAAAAACGACAGGTTCTCTGTGAGTCCGTCCAGTTCCACTCGACGGAGAATGTCTAGACGCTAGTTCCTGTCTTACTTGTGTAATGTTCTCGTATGACGGCGTGTAGTATGTGAAAGACTCGCTCTCTATGTCTCTCGTAAGTGGGAAATTCTCGTAGTCGGACCTGTCCTCATTAATCGGTTGTAGGGACTGGCTGGATTGTTGATATGGAGGAGAAGGCGTGTGTACCTCTCCAGATATTCTTAACTGTGCTAGAGCCGATTCTGGTCCATTTATTGAAGCCGGTTGCATCTTAACATATTGGTCTCTTGGGTCTTCGTATGCTCCTCCTCCATATTTAATTTCTCCTTGACTGTGTCTCGGGTGGATCATTCTCTCGTAGTCCCCTGATCGTTGTGACGGGTGACAAGTAGCAGTCGAGTGACTTCTGTGTAGCTGTCGAGAGGGCATGGAGGGTACCGAATAGTGACGAGTGTTAAAGTGAGGATGGTGACTCCCTCCATCATGTTCCACAAAAGACCTCTCATCTGGGAAACTATCATTGGGAGATACTTCAGGTTCCAGCGGAAACTGTTCATCGGTAAATGACTCTGAGTTTATCGAGTCTCTGTAGGAACTTGAGCTACGTCTACTGGAGTCCATCTCTGAGGTGTTCTCGTACGGGTAGTGGGCAGAGATGGTACGGGGGGCCGAGCGACGGGACTTAATCCGGTTCGGGTGAGAGTCAAAGTCTATCGGAGGAGGATTGGAGTTAGAGGAGAAGGGGGAGGAGGGGTGACCGGAATCAGAGCTTGGCTGTGACTCTATGCTTAGCTGTCTCTGTGGAGTGTTGATGCTTGGGCTACGCTGTAGGGAGGACTGGGAGCCACGTTTGTGATAGGAGGGAGGGAACCCGCTGTCAAAGGAGGCACGCCCTGGCTCTGGGGGCGGAGGCTGTGCTGTAATGGGTACTGCCCTTCCATCTCCTTTGAATAAAAACCTAATGAAAGAGAGAGAGAGAGAGAATGTAATAGCTAGTGTAGATGGACTTATAAACTTTCATCAAAAGATGAAATGGATTACAAATTGACAGGTTACAGGTTCATGTACATTCAATAGGACAATATGTACACTCAATGCCTCCCCAGAGGTTACACTAATTCAATGAGGGAACACTGTCCACACATAAACTGACAAAGAGGAAATCTCAGACCAACAACAAAATAGAGAGGAGAGAGAGAGAGAGGAAAGAGGAACATGAAACTCAAAATTAAACCTTATAGTAAACTGAGATACATGTATCATGAAAGTAATGCATTTGCTAACAAAGAAGACAAAAGATCTAATTGTGGCAATAAGAAATAAAAAAAGAAATACTAGACACTTCATTTCTCCCATATCATGCTCTAGTACTATCATCAGACCACTTTGGTGAAGTTCCAGTGATTCAGGAAACAGTACAGTTTACTCTATTTGGTTAAGAGATCTGGCCCACACTCAAGCACTATACAGGCCTGCATGTGATGGGCATGTGCACAAGTTGTGGTAAGATGTGTGCTAATTGCATGTGGAGGGATTGAAAACTAAAATCAAAATTGAATTTAAGTAAAATGTGTATTGCATAATATAGGCTCATCATAGAACAGGTGTCAAAACTATATAAGGCAAAAATATAAATATAAAGTTGAGAGAGCTTGTAATTGTAATTGATGTACAGGTGTATAGTGGCTATGCAGAGAGCAAAGGAATATTAACTAAAGGAATATGAGGTCTCTCTCTCTGATCCATTTCCTAAAATGGTGCAAAAAGCTTTCACAATTTATTGTATAAACTGCAACACTGATTAATAATACACCTATATACTACAAACACTGCAGGCAATATAAGCTGCAAATATCATGTGACCATAAATGAGGACACAGTTTAAACTAGCTCCATTATTCACCCTTGCTCTTTAGACAGTACATTCTTGAGCTACAGTAACAGTTTACCCAGAAAGGACGCAGTACAAATTAGAGCTCTCCTTCTTTGTGTGGCAAGGAATGTCAAGCATGAGGAACAAGGGTTGGAATAATAGTGTGGGAGGGTCCACAGCCCCAAGAGAGGATGTATAAGATGTACAGTGTATACAAACATGTAATTCACACAAGGATATCTCTTAACTATTTTACATATATACAGTGTAACAGCATACCCAATATTCTAAATAGCCTCTACATAATAAGAACATGATTCTGTATCATTACAATGCACGTTACACAACTAGTGGCTAGACCAACACAATACAGTGTATGCTAGAGTGATACAGGACGGGTGACTAATGAAAGGTTCAGTGATAAAGCATAACAAATAGCGAGGTACAGGGAGTCTAGACAGAATATGAATGAGAAGGTGGAATCACATGCTCAATGTTAGCTCGTCACATGATCACCAGCCACTAATCACATATTGTCATTACTGTATACTTACATGTGTAGTGTTTCTCGTAGGGCTGCTGTCTCTTTGGGTCCGACGTACATCCACACTAGCCCTGGCCCGCCCCGACATCTCCGCCCGATCTCGATGAAGACCATGTTGCCTAGGCAGCCAGTTCGTCTCATCTTGTCCCGGTCCCAGGTGACGATGGGGGTGTGGTCGGCGGCACTTATGATCGATAGTTGGCCTGGTTGAGTCTCAGAGACCCTGCTCTTGAGAGTCAGTATGTGTAGGCCGAGGACGTGAACACGTGAGCCAACCTCCTCCGGTAGTATGTAGACTGCCCACACCGAGTCTATAGGGAGAGGGGAAAAGAGGAAGTGAGTTAGACACATTAAATTAGCTCCATAAAGAGTGCAAATGAAGGTACAATGAACTCATTGTGTTGTCATAAACCATAATAATAATAATGATAATGATCATCATCGTCGTAACTGAAAGTGGGTGGACAATACAAGTGTGTCTATAGCAATACAAATATTATTATTATTGTTATCAATGCTAGTATATTATTATTATTATTATTATTATTATATTGCATGCAATAGTAATTACATGGAGTAGATTAGATAGACACAAATACTAAGAAATGGAACAAAAGGAGGAAATGATGAATGCCAATGGCATCGCATGAATGCATAATAAGCTCCAGAATATTATCATATGGAAATATATTTCTAAGAGGATTAGTCCATAACAGCCAACCACCTATACAAACTTCAACAGAATTACAATGTATAAAGGACTCAGGGCATATAAATTACATTATTACACACACATCACTGGCTATGGGTTTCTCAGAAGAGTTACTATAGTCGTGGATATGTTAAAATAATTTTTTCGATAGTTGGTTTGAGGCGACTCTCATGTGGAGAGGAGAGTTATGATGAATGAAGCCAGACACTGAGCTCATGTGACCCACAGGCTACGAGACAATTTATTACAATAAAAGAAACAGCTAGAATAATATGCACTATGATACACTATCCACAAATACATGTATATGCATAACTTCCATAGCAATATACATGTAGTATGAACTATTGATAGTTTATTTAGGCAAGGGAGAGAGAAAGATAGGAAAGAGAATGCACTAGATTATTTAATAAGGAAGAAGAAGGTAGGGGTTATTCAATATTTAAAAAGTGTACTTATTTGAGAATCAGGAAGATACATGGCAATGAGGACAATAACTAAATGGACAACACCCTTCCTAATGCATTATACATATACTCAACAGGAAATAGCATTAATCATTGAGTCTGAGCTGTATTACAGTACATAGCACACAGGTGGCTCCGATTCTAGCTTGTCACACAGCTGCAATAGGAAGCAAAGGCCCCACACATACACAACATGTACATGTGTCAAAGGGACAATAACAGGAGGATTATTATCAAAAAACTGTAAATAAACAATGTTGATGTAATAATATGCCATGCATCACTACATATACAGGGAACTATATTCAGTACCACTTCCTACAATGACATAAAGGGAAACTGGAAGGAATAGTAATAAGGGAGTTACTTGATGTAATTCACATGTTACATGTACACAATAGGAGGTGATACATGTAGGTGGAATTAGCAAACATGATAATTTGGTCTATGAATCAAATTAATGTAACAATAGTCCTTTAGAGGTAGACATGATCCTCACACATGCCAAGCACACATACACCATTCTCAAAGCATACTCTAGCAATCACCAATCAACACCTTTATCAGTCTATGGCTATCTTATAGTACTACATGCACTCACCAGCATTATAGTCCCTGGCGTTAAGTTTTGATTTATATCCCTCCCTGATTGGGTTGACAGCCGGCTCCTCTGGTATCGGCGAATAAGGAAACATGATGAGGAGTCCTAGCCTCTTCAACCACTGGCGTTGGTCTTCGGGACTTTCGGCAAATAGCTCGTAGACCTCTCCGGTCTTTGTGAGGATTTGGAACGGCCAGAGGGTCGTGTGAGAGTTCATGGGTGGAGACGCTGCCATGAAAGAGTTCTTGGGGGAATGAGTTGATGGTGAGCAGCTGAGGGACGTGCAGGGAGAACCTCCTTGGACCCCTGGCTGGGCCAGCTCAGTTAGCATCACCACTTTCTTGGGTTTTTGATATATCTTGAAAGCTTCTTCAAATATTTCAATCTGGCCTGATGCCTTGCCATCATGAGAAGCAGAATAGACTATGATTTCTGCTGGTTGTAACTAAGAGAAGAGTAGGAGAGAGAGAGATAGGATAAACAATATCTATCTAATTGCTGTTAATTTGCCAAGTGTCAAAATTGCAAGCACAACACTAGCTCCCTGTAAACCACTCCTTACCTTAGAAGTCTTGGTTCTTCTTAAACCTAGCCTTCCGCGTAGTACTTCCCTTCCTCTGCTCATCTTGTTGCTATCGCTTTTACTCCGAGAATTCTGCAAAGGAGAGGAAATCTTGTTAGAGTTATTGTGCATGAACGAGGAAGGTGGAGGTGACGAATAGGAGCGCGCGGGTGGTGCTGCTGCAGGCAGCACGGGTCCCATTTGAGCCACGAGAGCCATGATTGAAAGTGTCTTGCTTACTACAGTGTTATCTTTACGATAGACTCTATCTCTGGCTCTGCGGTCTTTTTATCTTGGCTGTTATAGCCCGCGGTTTAGGCACGTGATGAATATACGCATGCGCAAGATTGCAAAGATAACTGCAGGAGCAGCTTACCTGCAAAGTTCTTTGTAGTATGCTGAGATTAAACTAGATCTGCTTTTGGCTCTTCCAGTTCTTTACCTGTTCTGCTTACTTCTCGGCCTTGTTTGACGACAAGGAAAAAGAATTTGCTTTAATTACTGTACTAGACAGGGTGGAGCCCGCCAAAATATTCCCGGGCAATTATTGCGCATGCGCAGAAGAGAACAGAAACTAAAAGCAAGAGTGATGCGTGGGTGTGTGAGCATTCTTGTGGTTAAGACTATGTAAACAAAGAAGCTACTGCTCTGCTCCTCTTTCACATTCTCCTACTTGCTTTCTCTTTGACAGGGAGGGCAAATGGAAGCTACATAAGCTTTTTTTGAGTAACCATGTACGTACAGAATGCATCTAAAGCTTAAGAGCTTCAAAGAGAAGCTATGCTACCGAGCTGAGCTAAAACTGGCTATAGTAACAACAGATTATGATACTCTTGGCAGTCCTTTGATTTTCATTAGTAGAGTGTGTGTGTATATACTACTCATGTGGTCTGGCATTAGAAAAAAAGCATCGTAAACAACACTAGCACAAACAACACAAATCTCTCTCTCTCTCTCTCTTTCTTGAACTTACAGAGTCCAAAGAATTTCTTGATTCCTTTGATCCAAAAAGTTTAGAAAAAGACATGCCAGGGAAAGTAGCAGGTTAAGATGAGTACTGCTGGAAAAACAGGAGCTCCTCTCCTTCCACTGCCTCCCGTTGACTGAGAACGACTGAGAAGCAAGAGCGGAAAGGAAAGCAGCTATATAATAACACAGTGATGGCTGTAGAATGCTATCAAACAGGTTTGGAGAGAAATTAAACTGCAAAAATGATGAATATCCGCCTATTTATGTACCGCGTGACGAGTAGAACTAGTGGTACCACTACCAAATAGAACAGAGGGTATTTTGCACTTGCAGACTGAAACTGAATAGAGATGAGAAACACTGACAGAGTATCAAGCCCTCGCAAATCACTTGGAAATCCCGCCCGAGCACGAAACTGCGGTATCAATAGCAAACCACAGAATATAATTAAAATAATTTGCTGGAGCTCAAGCTATGAATATTTTCAGGAAAGGAAGTAAATGATTAGTCTTTAGAGAAATGTCACATAATGGCTCACACCATCAAATAAAGCCTCAAGGCCTGGATTAAATAGAGAGCCGATAGGCCAGCGATAAATATTATGACGCAATATTGTTGCTAGCTGCCAATATCTAAGACTATACAAAACATGTTGACTGTTTGTGCACGTATTAACGGACCAACAAAAAAAATATTTATTAGCTCTCGCTAATATATCTCAGCAAAAGGAAGAGGAAGGAGGACGAAAGAAGGTTGAAAGGAAGAGAGAAGGTGCAGTGCTAATGAATTAAAATATAACAACTGTGTTTGCTCAGTCAGGACTTTTGCATTGTGCCCTGATGATAATGAATATCCACAATCCAGGATATGCATGGTTGGAGATATAATACAGTTAAAATAATAAACATTACGATTCCTGGAAACTGATATTACTTTCTCTCTATATATACAACCCCTTTCCCCACTGAGCTTTCCTTTCCCAAAATCTTACCCCTCTCCTCACTGTAATGGAGCACTTAATTGTACCAAATCCACAAAAATATGACCTTATAGAAAATCAATGACCACAGGTATGCTGTAGATCCACAGTTGTAACATACACAATTCTTCTCATTCATGTGAGGTTTGGTATAAAGATTGTACCACATTCCTTGCATAGCTTTCTTGTAGTTTGCACTCTTGTTTCTTCCTGTGTGATATGTCATTAATGGATACCATATTAGGTCAAAAATCAGTGACCATTACAAGATAATGCTCTATACCACAGAGACACAGACAAGACGCAGTGAGAGAAATTAATAATAATTTAATAATTATTATTGATAGGTACAAATATAAATAATTATAAGCTGGGATATATTTCATAAAAATAAAAATAATAATAATAATAATAATAATAAGAGATAAAAGGTTACCGTATTTAGTTTTGTTTATAAATTAAGACGGTCTCTCTTCTTTCAACCCCTCTAATCTACTCCCTAATGTCTTATAACCTGTGACACAATTAGAAAAAACTAAAATTAATACTTGCCAGTGAGTATATAAATAACAAAAAATCACTGGAGTCACACAGCAACTGGACACAAGACAAGCAAAACAATAAAATGGAGGGAAATGTATCAACCATGGACCAGAGACACAGGTGCAGGCTACATGTCATTGTAATGTAACAGGGTGACTAACAATAGACAGAAATAAAAGAGAAGGAACCAGCTGGTCATGAACTAGAGAGAGAGAGGGAGGGAGGGAGGGAGGGAGAGAGGGAGGGAAAGAGAGAGGGAGGGAGAGAGGGAGGGAGGGAGGGAGAGAGTGAGGAAGGTAGAGAGACACAAGTCTGTGTCGCTTAAAAGACTTATCACCAGAATCTGCTAAACCCGACCAAAGGACTGTTAATGTATAAACCAGCTTGATAACATTCCCCTTAAACCTTATAAGGAAGAAATAGCGGAGAACCTTTCAGAGCTTGCATGGTGCAAATTTATGATACATGGGCTACTGGACCAAGCTCAATGACAAACAATTACTAGTACACAAGAAACAATGGAAGGCAGAGATGTCACATGTGGGTATAAGAGATATATGAGAAGCTAGGCTTTTACAAGAGGAGAAAAGTAGCTTAGTATTAAATGGACATAAGAAAGAGAGTGAGAGAGAAGAGATGATGGAGAAATGGAAAGTATAATGCACTAGGATAAACAAACATAGCTCTAGGTTCAACAACACTAATATACAGAGGAGCAGCTGTGTATACATAACTGTGTACATGTACATGTACACTGTTTACACATACTTGCATGTACTACATGTACATGTACATTTACATTGTCATTAGAGAGAGAGAATGATAAAAATGAGAGGGAGAGCAATCAGTCCTAGTTTACTCAAATGTATCAAACTAACAGAGAGTGCTGTCCCAACTTACTTCCTAAATTAGCAATAATCATGACCATGTGTTTAGATAAGCATGGATGGATTAACATTATTAACAATAATACATGGACAATTACTGTATGATTACTCATACATGGGGCCCACTAATCTTTTGTGTATCACCAATCACCATGGGACTTACAATTATGAAGCTCTTTCAGCTCACTCACAGTCATGTCCTCAAATCTGTAGCAAAGAGAAAGAAGGAGAGGATAGATAAATAAAATATACATGTACATGTACATGGATATGTAATTTGTATGATACATGAGAAAAACATGTACATGTACATGTACACATGTATTTGATTATTAATTATTTCTTCTATTACTTCTTTTGTAGCAGTTTGGGCAGTAAGCAGTCACTAATGGTGGCCATTAGTAGTTGCCCACGAGAGATGGAGCTTCCCTCCATCTTATCTGAAGTTGCTGTATCCACCATTTCCTTTACCTCCTCCTCCTCCTCCTCCTCCTCTCCTTCTCTCTCCTCCTCATCCTCAAAGTTCTCAGACTGTGGGAACCCAATGGAGTCGTTGATGGTCGGCAAGCGAGGACCTTTACTCTCATCTAGTTCCTTCTCTTCCTCTTGCAGAGGGCTAAGGACCTCATCCCTTTCTGAAATTTCAAAATGTAACTTGATCATAATCATTAATTACATGTATCATTTTGATTAAAATTTTGTCAGTGAGCATTGAGCTTATGTGCACACAAAATTGTCTATGCATTTCCAAGAGTATGTGATATTAAGGTTTAGTACTCAATGCATTTCTGATACCTTTAAAGGAAGGGTTTGTGGCTGCCAGGTCAACGAGTAGCCTCTCCCAGCCTCCCTGCTCCTTTGAGAACCGGCGAGGAACATCTCTACCATTCTTAATCTTGTCTTCAGCCTCTGACATCCCTCTGTGAGGAAGAGAGAGGGAGAGGAGGGATAGAGAGAAGAATGAGTAAAGTCAAAAGAAAGTAGTAGAGGGTATTTAGGGAGTATTTTGTATATGACATGTGAGGTTGATATATAGTCCATTATATCTCAGTTATTATAAAAGACTGGCAAATTGCATATGGTTTATAAATGACCAAAGACAGTTATCATTAGCCCAATACACTACATGCACAAATGAGGGAGTAGCCAGAATCCTGGCTATAAGAAGAATGCAAGCACCAATAAAGTACATGTAGTACATATTATATATGACCACACACATACCAAGAATGTTCAGCTAGTATATATAAGGCAAGCTCACACATAAAAACACACACACAATCACATTGCTGATGTACTGCTAAATATACATACCAGTAGGTATAACTTATTACATGTAAATGAAGGAACTGCTCCAGTATACAATAATAATGTACATAATAACATCATAACAATGTACATATACAAACTACAGCTCAATTAGAAATACAGAACTAGAGTACTATTAAGATTATGTACTACATAATACTATACTGTAGTACACATCCACTAGTGGCCAGTGGGTCTTCAAGGAAAGGATGTACTAAACATGTGCTAAGCATGTGCCTAACATTCAATGGCTATGTACCTTTTGAATTCCTCCTCAGTGATAGAGAGAGAGGTATGGTCCAGCGTGCTTATAAACATTACACCACTTTCCTGTGAGAGAAACAAGGGATGAAAACAAGGAGAGAGGGAGAGGAAAGAAAGAAGGAGATGTAATGGTTTAGGGTTTCTCTTGGTTTGTGGTTAAACTCTATGATAACAGCAAAATGGCTTCACTGTACAAATAAACATATAAATATTAGTATGATAATACAATTAAAATAATTAATTAAATGCATGTAGTAAGTACATGCAGCTGGAACTGAAGAGGTCTGGAGTCTGGATGTACATGTACATGAACCTATTAGCTAGCAATGAATGATGAGAGGGTATGTCACATGAGAGAGACTGACACCAGGCCAATCATGTATCGGGTTACATTTGCTATCAAACTCTCCCAACACATAATAATACACACTCATAGGGACCCATGAATAGACTCATTAATACAATGAATGAGCTTGTACCACACACACATATACACAATATAATAAAGACAGGTGGGTGGGCCACAGCCACACACACACACCCCCAAAATACATGTACATAGTGCAGCTGGTCTGCATGTGCATGCCGCAATATGGGATACATGTACATGTACATGTAGTATGAGAAAAGGGGGAGAGAAGGAGGAGAGGAGATAGAGAGAGAGCATATGTATATTTTGACTTACCACTTGTGTCAGGTAATAAGCTTCTTCACTGGTCATTGAGGTTGGCCTTCTAAATCTTCTAATATACCTGTAGAAACAGTTAGGTGAGTCCTGGTCAGGAACCACAACCACAAGCTTAATTGGGTCTGGCCATAAATCACACCTCAAATCACACCTCTAACCCCACAAGTTGTGATATTAAATCACACCTCAAATCACACCTCTAACCCCACAAGTTGTGAGAGGGAAAATGAAGTTGTACTTATTGCACAATAAGCTATAGTCACAATAAGCTATAGTCACAATAGCCCCACCTAAAGCTATGAAGCAACTCCTATAATCTAATGGAGTCGAGTTACATTGCATGTAATAAGGGCGAGAGGAGAAAAGAATGTAAACTTTCTCCAAGTATGAACAAACTGATAATTACATGTACTTTCACTCCGAAGCCTCCAATTTATGAAACAATTGGGTTGATTTCTCCTCCTCCCTCCCCCCTCTCTCTTTCTCTCTCTCTCTCTCCCTCTATTCCTCTCAATACAGGAATTAGTTTACTTTTAGAGTCTCTCATATGCAGACAGGCTAAATGGAGCCTATTATTGTAGCAATTAGTAAGTGTCATTGACAACCAGCAGTGTCAGACAGTAGCCACAATGATGGCTTTATTAACAAATAAGAACCAATCACTGATGTACATGTACAAACACACACAAACTATCATAATTGAATAAACAATAGGACTCATTGTGTGTAGCATAATGGCTCATTTGTAATAGAAATAATCATCACATGAAATTAGTATCAGCTAGTGGCAACTATAGTCTGTAGTATCTCAGTTGTATAGGAAATCACATACTACATGTATGGACTGTTCTCTCTCTCTCTCTCTGTTCTTACCTTAGGTTTGAATGGATGTGCTTTGGGGATGTAAGGAGAATTAGGTAAATGATATAAGGAAGGAAATCATCAGCTCCTGCACAATAAAAATAATAAATAAATAAATAAATAAATTACATTGATTACATGTAATTAATAGGCTCACCTGTTCCACCATCACTTGTGGAATATTTCAACAAATCTTAAAATTACAAAAAAAGAGGAGAAAAATACAAAAACAAAACGAAATAGAGTGATACTGTTAAGGAGGAAACACGATAAGAAAAACAAACAAACTGAAATGAATACACACACACATACACAAGTATTGTGCACTGTATTACATACTGAATGCCCCAATATAAAAACTCATACTTACACTGTACATTATAACATAAATAATAATAATAATAATACACTAGCTGCTAATATATTGATAACAACAACACAACCAGTGAGTAAAAATAATCATGTGATCTCATGACCTTATGAACTGCTCCATCATGCTCTATCATGCCACCAAGAGGTCACCATATAAAGTCAATACACATGGGGCCATCATATACACTCTGCTATAATATAAATAAATATTTGTGTCATGACAATCACAACAACAAGGTGGTAGTTGTTTGCCTATAACATAAACATAAGGTTGATAGGAGATGATGTCATCTCTAATGGTAACTATAATTAATAACAAACAGTTGCTATGTTTAGTAACAAGGGTAGGACCTCCGTTACTATATTTAGTTACACAAGCATTGAGGATACTGATGACGATCTTGACTGCATTAATGATGCATGCCAGCTTCTCTCTTGGGGATTTTAACAAATCTTCCTCAAGCCTGCTAAACTCTGGAATGAAAAATGAAAAAAAGATAATCATCTCTCTCCCTTTCTCCCTCTCCCCCTCCTCCCTCCCTCTCTCCCTCCCTCTCTCTCACTCCCTCCCTCTCTCTCTCTATTACACTGTACCTTGTGCAGCCATCTCAAAAGCGATCTGATTATATTTCCTAATAAAGAAAATGAAAATAAGAACGTGGACATAAACAAAAAACAGGATACAATGTACATCATGTACATGCAGTAATGTACATGTTAAATTACAGCTACAATTGTATATGTAAATTCCAATTACTGTTTCCCCGTTTCCAAAAATAAGCAAAGAATCATCATCACAAAGCTGAAGTAAGTGTATTTTGTTTGTGTTTGCCTAGTACTTAGTTCTAAAATGGTTGGTGGAGTGTGTGTGTGTGTTGTTCTAGACGCTATTGTGATATTTATAAAAGGATCCATTGTATTTAAGTCATAACAGATTAGGAGAGAGAGAGGGATGAGAGGGTTTAGACATAAACAGGAAATGTGAGAGCTTATTTTCAAATTCAATTTGATAATCACTAATTAAAGAGGCAGTAAACAATTATGAAAAATTAATTAATCATAATTTATGGAATAAATGTACATGCAGACATGTAATTATTACAAATACTACAATTACTATTAAATTTTATTTTAATAATAATTCTTACTGCTAACTAGTTGATATGAATCACTACTAGGAGTAAAGCGCTACTCAATGTAAATCTGTTCTGACTCTATCTCTCCATCTTTCTTTCTCTCCCTCCCTCCCTCCTTCTCTCTCTCTCCCTCCCTCCCTCCCTCCTCCTCTCTCTATCTCTCCCTCCTTCTCTCCCTCTCTCTTTCTCTCTCCCTCCTTCTCTCCCTCTCTCTTTCTCTCTCCCTCTCTCTTTCTCTCTCTCTTTCTCTCTCCCTCCTTCTCTCCCTCTCTCTCTCTTCCCTCTCTCTTGAGTCTTGACCACAAACAAAGTGTTTGTTTCAAAACTGAAGCCAGACCAAGTTGACATACATTCCTTTATATAGACAAAACCACAACTCATGATACAGATAAATATTTACAGCCAGTCCTCCATTCTCTACCTCCTCTCATTAACATATCACCATACCCTCCCTTCCATTCTATTTAATAATGAATTTAAATGATAAATACATGTAATTATGGATCAGTGCTAGAGCTTGCAATGCGTGGGGTGAATGAGCTACATAAAATGACAAACGGTGAATCAAAGATAATCAAAATTATTCGATTAAGTCAACAAAATTTTTAGGAAAACTGGCAAAAACTCAAACAACATGATTTAGGAAGCTTTAATTAAAATCAGCCACACAGTCAAACATTTATACATGCATACACGTATATGATTTGTAAGATAAAAATTGAATCCACCAAGTCAGGTTGTTATTATTATTATTGTTATTGTTATTATTGTATTAATGAGGAATAGAAAATGAAAACTAGAGGAGGAGACTTTAAAAGGCTAACAATAACAATGGGAATTGTGATAACATTTTCAGTTAAAAGTTCTCTGAACTCTACCCCTCCCTCTTTCCCCATACAATATCAACTGGTCAAACCAAACAGCGACACGACATCTAACCAAAAATAACTATACATGTACATGTACATGTACTCTAGCTCTTATTTAATTTTAAAGATGGTTCTTTTATTGCTATGGTGTGTATTCAAATGTATATTCAAGACTGCCATGTCAAAAAATGGTAAAAAAATGCGATGAAGGGGAAAAACTTTTTATTACATTTTCTGATACACATTGATGTTCTTATGCTGTGTAGGAAGCTTGAGCCAATTCCGAGTTCAAATTCTGGAGCTATGAGCACTTTTTAAAAAATAGAAAATCTTGAAAAAAGGCATGGACTATAGCCCATGGTTTTTTCCAAAAATTGGCTCCAAAATCACCCCAAATTTTTATTACACTTTCTGATAAACATTGATGTCCTTATGCTGTGTACAAAGTTTGAGCTGATTCCGACATAAAATTCTAAAGTTATGAGCATTTAATTGACATAATGATTGCCATAACATTACACTAATATTTTTAAACGGCTGCATGCTCCTAGTCTGGAGTAAACAACGAAGCAAATGTAATATTAGCTCATGTTTATATTTATAAATAGAAGTTATGACTAACATATGAAGCAATACTCCACGTCACCAGCACAACAGCCAACACAAGTAGCTATAGAGCAAGTGTGTGTAGTGTGTGTGTGTATACATCATGAGTGGATGTTTGCTGACTCATCAGATAGAGGCATGAGTGACACGAGTATATCAACATTGCATCAGAATTATACTCTGTTCTTTATTATTATTTATTATTATTTATTATTATACTCTATTATTATTTATTATTTATTATTACACTCTATTATTTATTATTATTTATTATCATACTCTATTATTTATTATTATTTATTATTATACTCTATTATTTAATTATTTATTATTATTATTTTTTTTTTGTTATTTATTTATTTATTACCTTTTAGGAAGGTCTAAGTGGTCGGGTTGCAGAAATTGAAGTAATCTGACACGATAATAAAAACTCTCATCCTAAAATATACATGTATAAGTACATGTACACATAATATAACATATAAATGTACATGTACATGCACACTCATAGTTGCATATACAGTGTAGCACTTTAATTTGGGGACACTTTATTTTAGAAATACAAATTGCATTTGTCACTTTTAATTTATAAATGCTGTGTACATGTATATTATATCATGCATATTATGTCTATTAATGATTGATGGTTTTAATAATTGGGGATTTTGATCACAAATTGCAGTAGCTAAACTATAGAAGTGCTTCTTACCCTTAAGCCAAAGTAAAGTGCCATACGGTATACATGTATGTACATGTACAATACACATATACATGTATATACTTACATCTTCAGCGTCAGTAGATGTTGGAAGGTAAAACGCAGTGCTATACAGCCTTGTCAAGAGATACCTTTAAAATTTAAAATTAAACAACAAAAAACAGAATAATAATATCCATGAAATAATAATATCAATTACCTTTCCAGTGCCTCCATAGCTTTTTTAATCCCAACCTCATCCTCGTCCCTCCATTGGGAGTGATCCTGAATCACCAAATTAATTTCCTATAGAATTAATAATTAAAAAATAATTCCTTTGACATATTAATTGAAATTAATCTTAGCCACACCCTCTGTTTGTAATAAACTAGTGTCACACCCTCAAATTCAAATCCTTTCCTTACATCTAAGAATCCTTGAAGCTTGGAAGAGAACTGGTCCGGATTGTGCTTTCCCTCCATCTCAGTAAAGGCGTTGATGAATGCTTTGATCCGTCTCACTAGATCGAAACAGCTCGTGTGTCTCATTTTCTCTAGAAAACTCTTTCCCTCGATTACAAAAACCTCCGGCTAGAAAAAGGGAAAGGTTTCCTTGTCTCTCCTTCTCTTTTTCTTACCTCCACCACCTTATTTCTCAAGAAAGAGATCTCCGAAACCTCCATTGCAAATTACAAACTCAGCAATTGCTGACTGGGCAGCCACGCCTATTTTTTAGTATACGGACCAGTATATTTCCGCCAATATTTTTTAACTTTTTGAATCTCGCGCCAAACTTGTGCGCATGCTCAGACAAAATTTCCAATTCCGTATTTTACTCCGCATATTATCCGTACCGCTAATGATATTCACGAGTATGTAGATATTCATTGATTGATTTCCATTGATTGGAAGAAAAAGTGAGTTTTTACCGGCACTTATTTTTCCTTTTCCTTCCCCTCATCACCTGCGAAATCTCCCTCAGTCTATTCCCCCGGCTCCCCTCCAGGCTATGAGCAGTGCATGAAGGCCATCAATCCTCTCGTTTCTCCTCCACGAAGGTTTTAACGCCCTATTTTCTTCACTTCCCCCCTAGGCCATGACTTGTCAATGACCCCCTTTCATAGATGTCTCTCGTAGATTTAGTTCGAAATCCTTCAGGCTTCATCAGAGCCCTTTGTTTTACTGATGATATCAGTAGAAATAATGTACTCCTTGCATTAAAAGATACTTTTTAGGATTATAATTTTTATTTTAGACCAACAAAGGCTCACTCAGCCATTTGAAGTTGATTATTATTTTTTGTTTTCTCTTTCGTTAGGTAATTCATGGCGAGCGACGATAGTGCAAATTGTGACTACTCAAAAGAGTTTAAGGTATCGAACTTCTTTTGTATTTTAGTGGATCATGTTCTATTTTACATAATACATATAATCAATTAATCCGTTGTACCACACCCACATAATTAGTGACTAATTACTGATTAAAAATCATTTTAAGTTCTACTCACTCTCTAGCAAGAGCTCCAGTTAGTTTTATTGAAGAATTTACTAAAACTGTCCATCCATACATGTATGTACATGTAAATGTACATGTAATTCATCTTTATTCATGAAACATTCGAGTCAGCACATTCCACTTATAATAATAATAATAACAAAAGTACTCTTGGCATAATAATAACAATAATAATCATAATATAATAATGATAATGTATAGAATACCAACAGTACTTTTCTATGCATATATGTACATTATTCTTCCTTGATATTGACATGTACATGTATTATGAAAAACTACACTGGTCCATGTACCAATGGATTCAGTCACTTGATCTAGTTTATTCTTATATTCTGATAGTCCTATGTACAGTGTAACCATTATTTCCAGTTTGCTTCACCCAATTATCTACGAACAAGAGATAACCTGGCATTCTGCATGCTTCAATTCCTAAAAGTCATTTCACTATAAAAGTGACTATTTCGTAATAATAATTGATCAATCAACCCAAAGTTCATGCTAAAAACTAATAAATGCTTGTACTAATTATTGTACATGTACTACATGTATGTTGTTTGTAGCTTTTTGCATAGTGTGATATTTTGTTGTATAATAGCTAATGACTTTATTTGGCACCCATCCAGGACATTGTAAATTTGTATATTTTTGTATATTATTGTACTATGATGCCTTTTCATTTCTGTATATTTCTGTATAACTTTGTATACTGCAGAAGCATTTAAGAGAACTCACTGCGCAGTGGAAAACGTTTTTGAAGAAGACTAAGAAGATCTTGCTAAAATGTCCAAATTATGAAGTTAGCTTGTGTTAATTGATAATAAATTAACATTAATCATCGATGAATGTATACAATTGTGTGTATGTGTAATACATTTAATGGAGTATATCTCTTTCTTTTCCTTCCTCAATAGAAATGTGAATACAAGTGTAGCAGTATTGGTGGCATGCAGTATCATTATCCTCGCTGTGCTGGAGTGAGCTATTCTCCTCTTCTTCTTCTCTATCTCTCTCCCCCCCTCTCTCTCTCCCCCCCCCCTCTCTCTCTCTCTCTCTCTCCCTCTCTCTCTCCTCCTCCTCCTCTTTCTCTCCCTCTCTCTCTCTTGGTTTTATATTTTATTTTGTTTTTGTTTGTTTTTCATTCTTTGCATCAACTAGATAAGTTAATCTTTCATCTTTCTCTCTTTCTTCCTCCTTTCTCTTCCTCTAGGCCTGCCCTGTATTCAAGTGCAGTGTCTGTGGTAGAGAGTATGAGAGTAGAACTGGTCTCAACTATCATCAGTCGAGTTACAATCATTTCTCTTCAACGCCTCTAGAGGATCGTCTCGTTCTGCCCGAGCAATCAGTCACACCAACTTCATCGTCATCGGATCTCTCGGCTCTCGATGCCCCTCCCACTTTACCAGCTCCGCCCACATCATTAGCCCTGCCCTCATCTTCAGCTCTGCCTTCATCTTCGGCTCCGCCCGTAAAGAAGAAACGAGGCCGTAAGCCAAAGTATAGAAGGAACAGTAATACAGAAGAAGGTGTGGCTTCTAAAGAGACTCCGCCCATCACGATTACAATACCTTCGATTGAATTTTCGGTAAGCTTTTTAAAATTGACTTTACTCTCACTCTCTCCCTCCCTTCCTCTCTCTCTTTCTCACTCTCTATTTTAGGATGAGTATCGTTCTTTTTTACCAATATGGCGCGACGAGTTAAAAGCTAATCAATACGTAACGTGTCCTAATGCTCCTGGTGGGTGTCAGTACCAGTGCAGCACTGTCAATGGAATGAAGTATCATTATACGCGCTGTCAAAAAGTACACGACTCTAATTTATTTTTCTCTTTATGTATGTATATATCTTTTTCTATTTAGGAGAAGCTGCCTGAGTTTCATTGCTCAATTTGCAAGAGAGAGTTTCATTGTCGCTCTGGACTAGTCTGGCACTTGAAGAATGCACATAAAGTAGAGAGAGAGAGGGGAGGGGAGAGAGAGGGAGGAGGGAGAGAGAGAGTGGGGGGAGGGAGAGAAAGAGAGAGAGGGAGAGAAAGAAAGAGAGGGGGGAGAGTTAATGAAGAGAGTACATGTACATGTATCTGTCACATGATGATGACATTATTATTATTATTATATTTATTTTTATTATTATATCATTATTATTATTATATTTATAAATTATTATATTTATTTACATGTATATTTTTATTGTTATTATATTTAGATTAATGATGATCTTATTAATCAAAAGACCTTTGAGCTCCCATCCCTGACAGAGGAGAGCGATAGCAATGGAGGATCAGCTTCTGGCCCTAAGCCAAAGAGCAAGAGAGGAAGGAAGAAATCTACAGCAACTTCTAACGTAGCACCACCTGCAGCAGCACCTCGTCAGCCTTCTTCCTTTGAGTCTAGGAAACCATTAATAAGAAAGAGAAAGTATGTATAGCAATTCTTATCATTTAGGTTACGTTTACACAGCAAAGAAAATGAGGTGATTTTGTGCCTGTTTTATGCTTCTGTTTACACTCAAGGAATCAAAATGTGATAAAATCTTGATAAAACTCTATACTCTGTTCAAAGTGTATTGTTTTAAAAACAATGAGCTTTGCATTGCTGTGTAATTAACCCAGCCTTACTCCATGTATTGTTATGATATCATTTTTCATTTTTATTGACTTTTTTTATTATGTATTAGTATTCAATTATTTATTATCATTCAATTATTATTATCATTATTATTAATTTTTTAAAATTATTAGATTACGTAAACCTCTCTCTCCACAATACATTGGCTCTTCAGTAATTAATGAATTAATTGCAGCATCGCTTTCAGAGGTAAACCATTATTGTTATTTATTTATTTATAATTTTATTATTTATTTTATTAGATGCCTTCAACTGCTTGGACCGGTTCTATTCCTAACCCTCCGAAGCTCCACCCACCGCCCACTAAAAGAAAAGTCCCTCCCACCCAATTCAATATAAGTGATAGCATCCCGACTGATGATATAAAGTACGGGTCCTTAACAGTAGAGTACCCCCTGGAGACCCTAACTGAATGGCACGAGTGGTACTCTAGCAGCGACCAATCGGACGATGACGATGATTATGATGAGGAAATGGACGAAGACAGAGACGAGTTTTATCAAGAAAAGGCGGAGTCGAGTGGCTTGGGAGGGGGCGGGGTTACCGGGCGGGAACAGAAAGGCTACAAAAGCGATTATTCCAGTTCTCTCTCGGACGAGAACTCTTCAGACGAGGATTATAGAGGAAGTGGTTATGTACCTAGGGGTAGGGGGCGTGGTCGAGGCAGAGGGCGTGGCCGAGGATCCAAGCTTGTGAAAGACGAGGGATTAGGGGGCATACCCCACAGTTTACCACCTGGGCCTCCGGTGGTTAGGGGGAGAGGGAGGGGGAGGGGAAGAGGAAAAAGAATTGAAGTTGAGACTGAGAATAAATTCACTCCAATCAGCAACACTGGAGTAATGAGTACCAGAGGAAAAGGAAAGACAATAATAGGAGGAGGGGGAGTGAGTAGTGTAGTGACACCATCTTGTGTAACGCTCAATTATAAGAGAATATCAGCTAGTCAGCTTCCCCCACCCCCGGGGATCATACTGCCAGCTAAACCGTCTAGTGTTGAGTCGCAATCTGTCAAACTCGTCAGTCATGCTGGCACGCCTAAGTTGATTAGGCCGGCTCCGAAACCAGTCAGGCAGGAATTGAAACTGGTTGGACAGCCTTCTGGGGCTGCTAGTGGGAGTATGGCTCGTCCTAGTGTTCATAAGCCTCTCATTTTATCCGGGGGAGGAAAACCGGCTAAACTAGTCAGTCCGGTTCCTGTTCAAAGACCCAAACCAGTTAACCAGGTCAGACTGGTGTCTCCTCAGGGTGTGAGGGGGTCTGGTGACTACGTTCAATATTACCAGGTCCCTGTACAGTCCTTGCCTCCTTCTTTAGTCCCAGTTCAGCTAGTGTCCTCTAGTAACTATCACTCTCCATCCCTAGGAGGGGGTCTGGTATTATTGCAGTCCTCGGGGGTCAGCAGGGATCCCCCTCAGAGAGTAAGTGTCATCACTAATCCACGTCCCATTATTCAGACTCTTCCAAGAACCCTTGGCCCCCCTAAGGGGGGAAATATCACTCAATTAGATGGACCAGTTTCTAAAGGAAAAGGAAAAAAGAGGACAAGAGAAGATTTGGATAAAGAATTTGAAAAGGTTCGAAAGGACTTAGCCACGCCCACCACCACCACTCCTAATTTATCACCAAACAAAAATCCTTCAAACGTTCAAAAGAGAAAGAGAGGGAAAGGGAAGGAGAAAGGGAAGACAAAGAAAAGAAAAACAGACAAAGAAGAGTTGAATGAAGAGGAGGAGGAGGAGGAGGATGATGAAAGAGGGTCACCAGCTGGAAAAAAGAACTCATTTAGTTGTCCAAAATGCTCCCTTCTCTTATCATCAAGATCAAAACTACAAACTCACATCAACACTACTCACCTTGAAGTTTCTGTAAGTACTATATAGCAGGAAATTTTGGAGGGAATTAAATTTGGCGAATTGGCGTTTTAGCCATTTGCCAAGATAAAAATTCGCCATTTCAGCAATTATGCCCACAATCGCATGTTGCCACTAATTTACCAGATTAGGATCTGCCAGTCACCCAAAGTTTAGCAATTCGCCGAATTTTACTCCCTCCAAAATTTCCCGCTATACAATATGAGTATACTCAAATCTCTCTCTCTTAATTGTCCTCTTTCTTTTCCAGCCCGAGGCTACAGTAGCAGAGAGGGCTCCATTGTGGAGAAAAGCTATAAAGAAGTATAAGTATTTCTCTTGCGAAAAGTGTCAGACCTTTAAAGCAAAAAGTGTTGCAAGTATGAAATATCATTACGAGAGATGTGGAAAAGTAATTAAATTTTGTTGCTGTTTTGAAGTTTTATTTTTGTACCCTAATTGTCCATTTTGTAGGACATTGAAATTATTTCTTGTCCGAAATGCGGCAAAACCTATACCACCAAAGCCGGTCTTGAGTATCACGTGAAGACCGTCCATGCAACACCAGTGAGCCTCCTGTTCTAACACTCTCTTTTTCTAGTTTTTAATAAAAGTATATTGTATTAAGTTGGGTTTAACAATATGACATTAGCCCAATGTACCATCAATTTGTAATCAAAAGTGTGGGCGATTTGACTTTTGACGCATGCTTTTAACTAATTTCTATTCCAGCGTCAAGCCTATTGTAATATTGTAAACCCTCCTTTACATTAGAGTTGAACCAAATTTAACTGCAGTGTCAACATAATTAGTATCAGGACTAGCTTGTAAATCTGCCTTTAGCATCATGAATAATATACTGTTATACATGTTTATGATTATTGTTATTAGGAAAGAGAACCAGCCCCAGTCTCTGCTCCTCCACCTGCTCTTGATCTGTCCATGACTCCAAGAGCTGCTGCTCTTCAAGCAGTCAACAAGTTACAGGAGCAACTCTCCAAGCCAGTGGAAGAACCGCCTCTAGCTCCTCTCCTCCAGTCTTCTACTGGTGGGGAGGAGGAGACACAGGATCTTGATGTGCTGGAAGAAAGCTTGTTCACTAATGCTAGGAAAGTTTTAAAAGAAAAAGGCGTCATATTGTGCCCAAAGGTAATGCACATACATGTACATGTACATGTATGCTCATAATTGCCTTTAATGTTTTATTAATATTAATTATTTTTATATTTGTCAGGGGTGTGGCCAAGAGTACAAGTCGTTCCTGGGTTTCAAGTATCACATGGAAAACGGGCACATGGTAATTGATAATAATTAAGTTATTGTTAATAATTGTGAGAATGTGCTGAATTTGTAGATGAAGAAGTTTTATTCCTGTCCTTATTGCAAGGCTATTTTGAAAAGCAAGCATACAATAGTGAACCACTTGGAGAAGAAACACCAGAAATCGGTAATTGACAAAGTACATGTACATGTACCATCAACTAGTATAATTCATGCTTTCATATTGATGTCCTTATGCTATATGGAAAGTGTGTGCTGATTCCGACAAAAATTTTTCAAGCTATAGCCATTTTTACAAAGTAACAAGTTTTTGAAAAAAAACATGGAAAACCATGGGCTGTTTTATTTGAAAAATGGCTTCGAAATCACCCAAAATTTTTTATTACACATTTTGATACATATTGATGTCCTTATGTTATGTACATGTAGAAAGTTTGAGCTGATTCCGATTAAAATTTTTTCAAAAAAAACTATGGACTATAGCGCTTCTAAAAAAATGGCTCCAAAATTACTCCCAATTTTTATGTATTTTTTGATGCATATTTTATATCATTATGTGTTTCCTGACAATCTTCTGACTTCTAATTTTACGAATTTTTCATAACACAAAAATTGCAAATTTAATCCCCCGCAAAATATATAGCATATACAATGTAAGGATTGAAGTATCTCTCACTCTCTCCCTTAGGTGGAGGATCCTAGTGATTTTGAATATGTTGCTCCTACTAACCTATCAACCAGTGAAGATGAATACAATGATGATGAAGGAGAAGCAGAAGGAGAAGAAGAGGTAGAGATGCACTCACAATCATAACCACTGGGTGGACTCCTATTGTCATTACTTAGTCTTACACTAAATGTACAGTACATGCAAGTGTAGTTCACCTTGCTATTAAATACACATATGGGTACTATTAATTGTAAATTTTGTGCTTGGGTTGAAAATCACAATCATTAATACATGTACATGCAATTATTAATTCCGCCATATAACTAGTGGGAATAATTACTTAATCGCAATTTTTAATATCAGCAAAATCTACTACATGCTAAAATTTCAAAATTTGGTACCTGCAATTAAAAGTCACTTTAAGATACTAAAATACATGTACATGTATTTTCATAATAGCAATAGCAGTACATTATTTACATGTACATGTACATGTATCTCTGTGAATCACTCTAGGAGGAGATGGAAGTTGAAGATGATGATGATGATCATCATAAGTCAAAGAAGAGAAAGTTAAAGAGTCGTGATAGAAGTATAGGAGGAGGTAACGTCACTTATAACATACCACCGACCTTCAGTTACAGAAACACAGTATCTTCTGTGTGAGTGGATCCACTTTTTCCCCCCTCTCTCTCTCTTTTGTTGTTATACATTTACCGTACAAAATGATTTATTGGGGAGGAATTAATATTGGGGATTGGTGGTTCTATAAAGAAATTGCCAATATTAAATCCACCATTAACTTTCCAAAGTCAAATTTGCCAAATATTACTTTCACCAATAAATTATCTTGTATGGTATGTTATTTTAGAAAATTTTACTGCAACTTTCACATCACATAATTTTATTTCTTTTATTTTTCAGTAAAAATAGAAACACGACTCATCACAATTCATTGTTTCCCAATTGGAGGCCGCATAGTGAGAATTTCAATTTACTAAGTGATCGGTAAAAGCAAGCAAATGATTATTATTCTTATTATTATTATTATTATTTATTTATTTATTTATTTATTTATTTATTTTTTTAGTGATTGTATCCCATATCTGCCACTAAATCAAAACTCAATGACGTATACACACAAAAAAGAAAATGGCTCCTTATCTTTATTCAAGGGGTCCAGTGACCACTTAATATTTGTGGGGGGTCCTGTGTGGTCTATGGACTGGGCACCAAACTCAAACCCAAACTCCAAGCACAGTTACGTTGCTATGGCAACTTATCGGACTTATAATGAGGTAGGCGTATGCACATGTACATGTACTTGTACTTTGGTATAGGTGCCTAAGTCATACTTGTTCTTGTTTCCATTACTTTTTTGATGAATCAGCATAGTACAGAGTCTTTGCAAATTCCATCAAAAATGACTATGAGAAAATTCTCTATTTTTGTATTTTTGTGATACGTATACATGTTCTTATGTTGTGTAGAAAGCTTAAGCTGATTCCGATAAAAATTGATTTTTTATGAATTTTTAAAGTTGTTCCAAAAGCCTTATACTATTGTAAGGCTTGAAGACTTGGAGTGTGACATATTTTTAAAAATACATGTCAAATTCTAATCATAAATAAAAATTAATAAAAAAACCCATTTCCTTTAATAGGTACATGCTACCAGTGAGGTGTTAGCTCTTGATGGACTAATACAACTTTGGGATTTTGGAGTGCTAACAGCCACTGGCAACAGGTTAGCATTAATACACTAATCCTTCCCTTTCATTAGGGAAGAAGGTTTAGAATCAACATAAAGCATAAATTGATTGGGTGATCTGACCTTTTTGTGTAGATAATGCTTTAAAATTGATGCATTTATGCACTGTACATGTACATGTAAATGTACATAATTGGCTAAACTTACATGTAGTTTTGTGTTGTCACTGGAAATCTTCCTCTTTATTTCTCTCTCTCTCTCTCTCTCTCTCTCTCTCTCTCTCTCTCTCTTTCTCTCTCTCTCTCTCTCTCTCTCCCTCCTTCAGTGCCCCAGTATCAGAGTATTGTTATGCTTTGGCTCATAGTTGGGGAGCCATTCGTGGACTGAAGTGGTGTCCCTCTGGTGTGCAGGACACGCCCACTGAGAATCACTCTGTTAGTTCTAAACATTATAGTTATTATTAATTATTTGTGTGGGTGTGTGCCCTATAGAGTCCATTGGATAGACTGGGACTGCTGGCAGCTGCATGTAGTGATGGACAAGCAAGAATATTGAGGTATCGTTATTGTTGTTGTTGTTATTATTATTATTATTATTATATTATTATTATTTACTTTTAAAATATTATCCTATAGTATCCCGTACCCTGCCTCTCTCTCCTCTTCTTTCTCTCTCTCTGGTTCCTCTCGTATTTTCTCCGTGAGACCGTCGGCCATTTTAAGACCTGGCTCTTCACAAGTGGCTAGTACTGAGTATGGCCAGTGCCTCTGTCTTGATTGGATACCTGGAGGGGAACACAATAGAATTGCAGCTGGTTTCAGCAACGGTATTATAATGAAATTATATCAGATAATACTCGATAATTTACAATGTACATAGGCACTATATGCGTGTGGTCTTTGAATTCCATTCTTGGATTTTTATGTTCATCTCCAGACCCAGTGGAGCGGGGTCCTGTGTTGTATCCCATTATTCATTTGAGGGGGCACACTGGCCCCGTTCGCTGTCTCGCCTGGTGTCCAAGAGACACCAACTACTTATTCTCAGGTATTTTAAGTTTAAGCTTTAACGATGCAAAATTTTGCTGTCTATTGGTATAAAATTTTGCTTATACAAATATTTTTAAATTGTGTATGTACTTGTAGGTGGAGCTGACAAGTGGTGTTTTGTATGGGACCTCAGGCAACCTACTGCACCTCCTGTACAAAAAACTGACAGAGGTATTTAATTATATGTATATAGTTTTATTATTATTGTTATGAAAATTTTGCTCAAAATTTAATTACAGCTCATGCACATGTCAAAACTGCTATGTTAAAAGTTATTCTATGCAAATTTTTCATTTGATATTTCTCAATCATTATTTTTTTGTTTAGGTGGTGTTATTACAAAAGCCGTTTGGCCCCTAGCCTGGCCTGGGATTTATATTGTAGAAGACATAGCCAAGTACCTTAGCATACCTGTCATGGACTGTAACTCAATCATTATCTCTTCTAGGACCAGCTCTATCTATATTTTGTCCTTCACTCAAAAACCAGGAGCAGCGGCTTTTCTATTCACTAAAACCTCATCACCAATTTCAGTAAGTAGTACCCCCAATACATTATGTGAATCAAGATGTACAGTACATGTACATTGTACTTTTACTGTACATCGTCTATACTGTATATCCTTAAATAAAAGCCGGGTACAAATAAACGCCTGGGTAGCAATAAAATGGAACTATAAATACGCAACTCTAGCCTTTAAATAACATTGATACCTTGTAGATACATGTACAGTACTTCCTTAGGTTCCTGAAGTCAAGTGCGTGAGGTCACTGGTTCAAATCTCGCTGTTGGCCCAAGTTTTATTATATTTAAAAATTTTTTCGAGGTCCAAATACCATTTTAAGAAATAGACGCCCGAGCTTTTATTTAAGGAAATATGGTACATGACTACATGCTCTTATTACTGTTAGGCTATTGGTTACTCAGCTGACAGCGATAAGATTATTATGGGTACTTATTCCGGTGAGGTTTTCCAAGCCATGGCCAAGCCCAGTTGTTATAATTATAGAACTAAAAGAAGACACATACCTCCTCTGGGCATGTTAACTGCCAGGCTACAGCACGAGGGAAGAGCACCAACTTATGGCGACGAGTTGAGTGATGTTGTAGCTAATTGTCGTATCGTATTCAGTAACGATCTAAAACTGAAAGCAAGTGTTATTTAATGTACTAGTTTGTATATTACTGTTTACTTTCAGGATTCTACTGACTATTATCAGCCGGAATGCATTCCACTTACTGCAGTGACCAGTGTAAGTAACTCTAACTTTCTACACAGCATAAGGACATCAATATGTATCAGAAAATATAATAAAAATTTGGGCATAACTCCAAAATTTGAGCTCAGGATTAGCTCAAACTTTCTACATAGCATAAGTACATCAATATGTATCAGAAAATGTAATAAAAATTTGGGGTGATTTTGGAGCCATTTTTCAGAAAAAAGCATGGGCTATAATAGCCTTGGGTATTTTTCAAAATTTGCTAGTTTTGAGAAAGTATTCATAACTCCAAAATTTGAGCTCAGAATTGGCTCAAACTTTCCACATAACATAACCTATATCTGTAATGTATAGTCCACATTAATATACAAAAAAATATATTTTATTGATATTGCACACACACACACACACACACACACACACACACACACACACACACACACACACACACATTGATGATTGATTTATGTTGTATAGTGTGTGTGGAATCCTTCCTGTGATAAATGGAGTCTATGTGCTTTAAACAATGGGTTTGTCAAGTTGATCAGAAGTTACAAATGAGGCACTTAAATCTATGAAAACAATATTTTTTCTCACCATTTTTTCTATTATATGATTATTCTTTATCATTAATGCTTGTATTATAAATAATTCATTATAATTATAATTATTATTGTTATTATTATTATTATTATTGCTATTCAAATTCATTATTAACTTTAAATAATAATAATAGTAATTGGTGATAATAAGTAGAGTATACTGGAGTATACAGGAAGCAATAATAGCCTCCAGTGAACAGAACAAAGAACTTGCAAGATAGCAGCTCTGTCATTACTTTCTTCAATATATCTCCTACTGACATCAGCTTATTGGAGCCAGCATAGGATGAGCACAATTAAAGTATACTCGAGGTAAAGGCTCTTTTATTACAGTTTAAAGTCTGCATGATTCAATAGCTATAGATTTACTATATCTACTTGTGATTGTTATTATTATTATTCGCATCTAATAGTGATGGATCTTACAAAGTTGTGACAGTTCAACCCGAGACAACGTGTGGTGAGCTACTGAGAAATGTTCTGAGCACGACTCTTGATGCACACGAGAAAGAATACGTCCTGAAACTAGAGTACAAGAAATCAGGTAAACAAAAGTTGTTTAGTGGGCACAACTTAATGCATATAGCACAATATTTGCTTTCTGTGTCTATGATTATTATAAATGTTCACACACCCACAGGTTTAAGAACTGCATCAACAGACGAATGCATTAAAGATCTGAATACTTCTTATTCCGACCAATTGGTCAAAATACACCTCTGTGCTGTCAGTGAGGTCAAGCATAAGGCACAAAGGAAAAAAGGTACATGCTCAAAGTAACTACAAGAATGCCGGCATGCATGCAAGAAGACATGCAAATAACTACATGTATGTGAGCTTGTTTCCTTATTCTGCATAAACAATCCACCCCAGCATAGTGCTAAGTAGGAGCTTTTAGCACTTTCACTGTTGTTTTCCTCTCCTTTATCAACAGGGCAGCACAATCCCTTATATGCTAACCTTGTCACTGAAGGACTAGCAAGTTCAGTGAGCAGTGCCGGAGTCTCTAAGAAGAAAGGAAAGATTGAGACACTTCCTGTCTGCTCAGTTTTAACAACTGGAGCTCCAGCAGCAGGTCTCTCTAACAAAGCTCTGGCATCATCATTCTCTTCTGCATGGAAGATTGGTTCACAAATACAACAGGTATGTATTATTAATGTCACTGTTATTGATTTCAACACTAATTGAAAGGATGATTCTAATTATGAAAATCAAGAAATTATTCGGACTGCCAAGAAAAAGAGAAGACCGCGATTATCAGTGACAAGAGCAGTGAGGGACTCCAGAGGATTTTATGAGAACTGCTCTGAATTGGAAACAAGTAAATGCATTAATTTAGTTAATTATTAATTCCCATTCTCTCTCTCTCTCTCTCTCTCTCTCTCTTGTAGGATCAGGTGGGGATTCACACTCCAACAGCTCAAGGGAAAGCAGTGGAATATTTGAAGAATTGGACTCATGGTTTTGTGAAGAAGGTGATGAGTACATCATGTCACTGGAAGATATCAAAGAGACTCAGACAGACCCTCAAATCCATCAAGAAGCTAACACCAGTAGAACCCTTGAAAGAGTTGGTCATACTAAAAAAGTAGGGCCACAACTGTCAAGCATCAATACAGCCAGTACTCCTTCACTGCCCTTGAAAGGGAAAGTCATTTCATCTCGTCATTACAGTCTCGAGAAAAAAATGATGAGAACCACAGCCCAGCCTCCATTGTCTCCAAGGCATTATAGCCTTGAGAGTTTTCCCGCAGCAAAGACTAATATGAGAGATTCCGGCTTTGATAGCCCTTCCTCTCATTTTGTTCCTCTTCGACGGCAGGCAGAGCCTCAGCAAGATGAGTATATTGTAATGCAGTCAACTTCATCTATCATGTCGAGGCAAAATCCATCGGAAGATTTCAGAGAAGACGCTAGCAATTTAACGAGACTCAAATCAGCTAAATCCATGGAGTTGCTAACATCTGATGTCATCGATGAAATAACAGAGTTCACTCTTGAGCCTCCTGTCAACCAAAACCAGCCGATCTCACCTCAGTATGCAAGTGTTTATGATTACCCAGCGTATCCTTCGATAAAAGAGTCTGAGCCTACAGCAGCGACTTCTAGTGATAGCATAGAGCTAAGGAAAAAGAAAGAGGAGCCTCCAAAGATACCAGTAAGATTCTCTTCCTTGGATGCATATGATACTGTCCCTGATCACGTTCTCTATCAGCAGGGAAAGAGGTTAAGTGCTCTCCTTAATCAAGACGGCGATCAAAATTCTGGCGGACATGGGAAGTCGATAATAAAGTCTGCGCTCAATAAAGTTATGAAAAGTCGTAAAACGTCTCTCCCTGCACTGACCAATGCTGAAAAGGTGGGCACCGCTAAACCACTGACCCAGTCGACGCTTGTAATACCGAAAGTACCAAAAAGGAAAAAAATATCCGTTGATATGATCTCGGCGCCAATCATCACCAAATGTCCGTCCATGGAGTCCGTCTCATCTGATTCTGCCAAGAATGATGCTAAAAGCTCTTTCCTTGGAGTCCCTGGAGAAAGGGAGCGTTCGCACAGTCTTGTTCAACTAGAGGTGGATTCCGAATATGTCAAAATGCATCCTCAGTGGCACAATAGTTCACTAAATGATCTCTCTACTG